CTAATACTACGACTACGACTACGACGACTACTACTACTACTACTACTACTACTACTACCACAACTACTACTACTGCTACCTCTACTCCTGCTGCTGCTGCTGCTGCTGCTACTACTACTACTACTACTACTACTACTAGTATATCTACTACTGCGAAACCACAACTACTACTACGACTACGACTATGTTTACGACTTCTACTCCTACTCCTACTACTGCTACTGCTACTGCTGCTGCTGCTGGTGCTGCTGCTATTGCTACTGCTGCTGCTACTGCCACTGCTGCTGCTGCAGCTACTACCACTGCTACCACTGCCACCACGACGACGACTACTACTCCTTCTCCTACTGCTCCTGTTGCTCGCGGTGACTCTGCTCGTCACAACACGAATACGAAGAATCGTGATCATATGCACATCAGCAGCAAGCACAGCAGAATTGAGACAGAACACGTTGAGAAGAGCAGTGTTGAGGGCGGTAAGGAGCCCTGCAGTTGGGTTTGCGGCTTCTCTCCGGATGCTCATGTCCTCTGCGACCTCGTCTACCAGGGTCAAAGACAAGGAGGATCGGGGCGGTCTGGGACTGCGAGCCGTGAGCATCCGGGTTTTCGGTGTGCGGGTTCTGGATGGAAGAGCCTACAGGTTTTCGTAGGCCTTGGAGGGTTGCAGTTCAGGTTCGTTTTGGTAGTGTTATACAGAGTTTGGACACGGAATGGCGTATGTGACTTTGAGTCTTTTGTTGTGCACGGCGACTTCTTTAATTGTGGGTTTGCGTTCGGCCTTTTCGGAACTTCTTTTGTCCTGATCTCTGCCCCAATATCCGCAAGAGTTGAGTTCTGGCGCAGGCAATCTGGAATCCTCCACAGATTCTGATCTTCGGCTAGAACTGCAGAAGGGAATCGTATCCTTGAGCCTTGAACCCTAAACCCTGAGCCCTCAAGCCCGAAACCCTTAAACCCTAAACTCCGTAAACATAAAGCTCCAAACCCTGGCAAAACCCTCAACCCCTTACACCCGAAAGCCCCGAACCCTGACTTGATTCTGTAGGCCTGGATGTGAAGCCCAGACCCAAAGTCCCGAAGTTAGCTCCAAGGGTCCCGAACCACAGGGGTCTAGGGCAAACGTAAGGATTGTAAGCCTTCGAGTGCATTTGAGCATTGGGGTTCTTGGGGTGCAAGGCCCTACGGTGTAAGGCATCTGTTCCAGCATCAGGAGTTTGGGCTTGAGGACTTAAAGCTGTTTTCAGTGTTCCTCCAAGAGAAGAAGAAACATCTGGAGATGTGTAAATGTTTAGGATATCCTGCGGGAAGTTTCCATCACGTTCCCTTCCCACGGAGGCCGACGGCCTTCACACACTGGGCCCTGCATTTGCCTGGGGATCCTTTTTGCATTTAGGGGCGTAAGGAAGCACTACAGTACCTCAGTACCTGTGCAGGAGGAGGCACATGAGGCTTCCCGGACTGACTTCCATGAGCAGGCTGGGAATGGGTACCCAAGGAAGCCTCCAACAAAACCCGCATCTACAAATCCTCAGCTCATGCCAGTTTTTTGAAGTCTGAACCCCAAAGCTCTTGCTCCTTGGGCCTTAAGTCAAGCAAACCTCCAATGCCAACCCTTTTGCTTCTGCAAACCCCCATGGTAAGTATAGCGAGAGTGCGACTATATATTCGGAGCCTTTCCTGGCTGAGGACCATGTCCAGAGATTCGGGGCACGGGCTTCCTGCAACTGCACGGTGAGTCATACTTACCGTGAGGATTCTTCCGTCAGGATTATGCTCAATTCTGCCGTAACTAAACAGGCACCCTGTAAGTCAGACGCCCCTGCGGAGAGGACTACAAACGGCGGCTTGCTTTGGCTTTGTCTAGGTTGGCGGAAGAATACCAACGTATATTTTCAGCAGGCCACGAAGGAGTGTCCATGACCTTTGAATTTATACAGAAAAGCAGGGTTCTCACAATAGAGACCGTTGCACTAGAGCGAAAATTGTGATTTGAAGACGCTCTCCCAATTTGGGAGATGAACTCAGAAGACTATCTCAGCGCCCTCACGAGGCTGATAGCTCCCACTTCGAGTTAAGGATTGAGAGTTTGGGGATTGTGGTTCCGGGTTTAGGGTTTGCGGTGTGAACTTAGCGGATTTCAGAATTTGGGGTTTGGAGTTTGGGATTCCGGGTCGTTTGAGGAAGCAGTAGCCGCTACTCGGTCGACATTGCGATGCACTCGTCATGTCGAAGCAGTGCATGGAAGCAAGAATACTCATAAAATAGTAACGCAGTAACAATATTACTATTATAGTAATGCTTATGACAATAATAGTCACAGTAAGATCCACTGACCATTGCAATGAGACTCGGAAGTCTTTGGACGCGACGAGGGTTTTCAAGTGTATGAAGGAGAGGCCGTGCCTCTCAGCGCGCTCTGTGGGTCCCACCGCATGACCGCTGCCGGGTTTTGCAGGAGGTGGTGCCACGAGCTTTTCAGGCCTCCCTCCTGACCAACTTCAGCTGATTCAGTATGATTATAGCAACAGGGGATTTAGGGTTACCGCTTACGGGGCGCTGTCATCATGCAGCACTTGCCCTCGACGATCGCTCGTCCAACGGAATGCCCTGGAGTGGAGGTTGCCCCTTCAGAGCCCCTTCTGATCCCTAAGGTAGCCTCTAGATTTCCGAGGCCATTGAATCTAAGTCTTGAGCCCTGAGCCCCTCAAGCCTAAACCTCCAAGCATCCCAAATCCCACCCCTGAAGTCCTGAACCCTTAAGCCCGTAAAGAAACCTTATGGCACCTCCTTCTGGACCCTGGACGAAGAACCCTTAAGTAGTCCTCGAACTAGACACCTCTGTAGATCCCCCAAACTAGGTCCCGGAGCCTCCCCTTTGAATTCTCATACTTTCCTTTGTATAGCCCTCAAAGTATGTAGAACCGTGACAGGAAGCCTTGTTGAGCCCTGCATACTTGGACTCGAAGGAGAAACCCGCACAATAAAAACCATCTAAACGCCCTTCATCAAGAAACGCTTGTGCCCTGAATCCTAAACCCGACATCTTAGCCCCAAGCCCTAAACCCTAAACCCTAAAAAACAAAAACCCAACCCCAAGAGTTACCCTAAGCAGTGGCCCACCGTTGTAGAACCCTCAATATCCTAAGCCTTAAACCCCACATTCTAAAGCCTGAACAACATACACTCTAATCTCTGAACCCCTATGCTTCAACCCCTAATCCGAAGTGCCAAGCCGTGAGCCTTAAATCCAAACCTCGAACACCAGGCTCGATACTCTGGACTTCAATTTCTAAACCCCCAGCCCGAAATTCTGAAGCCGGAACCGTAAACTGGCCATCTACCCTAAAATCTAACTATTAAGCCTTAAGCTCTACAGCCTAACCCGTACACGAAAATCCTAACCCTTACAATCGAACCCTAATCGTTACGATAGAACTGCAGCCTTTCATAATAGAGCCCGAACCCTTACCATAGAATCCTAGCCTAAATCCTAAACCCTAAACCCTAAACCTCTAAAGCCCTAAACCGAATAGAACCCAAAGAGGCTGCTGACTTGTCCTCCGGCCGCTTCGCCGAACTCCGGGGCCTTAACGAAGATCTCGGGCTCTTGGGCTTCGGAAATCTGAAGGCGGGGGGTTTTGGGGGCTCTCCTTCTATCAGGGTTGAGGGTTTTTAAGGTCGTTTCGGCTGTTTGGGGTGTTTAGGGGGTTTAGGGGGTTAGGGGGTTAGGGGATTTTAGGGGGTCTTTAGGAGGTCTAGGAGCCCCCTAGGGTTTGGAGTTTAGGCGGGTTTTTAGGGTTTAGGGCGAAGGGGCTTTCTTTCTCGGGTTTGATGAAGGGTTTGTAAGGGTTTTTCCAGGATTGTGTGCGGTTTATGTCTCAAGGTGTTCAACTGATTTCTAAAAAGTTTCGTGTAGGTTGTCTAGGGAACTATGGAGGTTGCGTACGTGCTTTATATGGCACTATCGAAGGTTTCGTAAGAGGGTTCAATGTGGGGAACAGGTTGGGTGAAGGACAACCGAACAGCTCCAACCAGACGAGAGCCGGTGTCTTTGTCCACAGAGATACCGGGAAGCGGAAACGGCCTGCGTGCCTAGTGACCAGTCACGGGAAGCTTCATATTTTCCACCCTAAATCCCGAACGCCAGCACCAAAAAGCCCAAAAGCGGGAACATGAGCACGAGCTCCCTGGATCCAAATGCGTCGAAAAATGCAGGAGCCACAAAATAGTTGCAGTACAAAACAAACCTAATCACGTCCCGAATCACACTTTTTTCCGGGCATCCAGAGACTCCAACACAGCCCCGATTCAGGAAAGTAATAATCTTTTGGCCGCAAAAGGGCCTATAAGTTTCAAGAAATACTGCTGATGATAGATTTGGCGGATTGGAGTAGAGGCACAGTATAATTTAACGAGTTGTTTTGTTGATTCTTCTTCAAGGGGTCTTGCCCTCAGCCCTAAACTTAAAACCCCAAAACCTAAATATTACCTAAACCCTACACCCTACACCCTAAACCCTAAACCCTAAAAGCCGTAAGCCCTAAACCTAAGCCCAAAACTCTAAACCCTAAACCCTAAAAACCCGAAACCCTAAACCCTAAACCCTAAACCCTAAACCCTGCAACCTCAAAACCCTGGGTTTCTGGGCAGGTCCTCCTCCTCTCCGGCGCGCCTTTGACCTGCGAGGCACTGGGCGAGGTCCGGAGCCGCCTTTCATGAGCTGTTTTGGGTTTGTGGCTTAGGAGGGTTTCGGGTTTAGGGTTTTGGGCTTGTGGCCTAGGAGGGTTGAGGGTTTTGGGTTTGTGGCTTAGGAGGGTTTCGGGTTTAGGGTTTTGGGTTTGTGGCTTAGGAGGGTTTAGGGTTGTGGGGTTTAGGGTTTTTGGTTTTTGGCTTAGGAGGGTTGAGGGTTTGGGGTTTGTGGCTTAAGAGGGTTTGGGTTGTGGGTTTAGGGTTTTGGGTTTGTGGCTTAGGAGGGTTTAGGGTTGTGGGTTTGGGGTTTGTGGCTTAGGAGGGTTGTGGGGTTTTGGGTTTTGGGTTTGTGGCTTAGGAGGGTTTAGGGTTTTGGGTTTGTGGCTTAGGAGGGTTTAGGGTTGTGGGGTTTAGGGTTTTGGGTTTGTGGCTTAGGAGGGTTTCGGATTTAGGTTTTTGGGCTTGTGGCCTAGGAGGGTTGAGGGTTTTGGGTTTGTGGCTTAGGAGGGTTTCGGATTTAGGGTTTTGGGTTTGTGGCTTAGGAGGGTTTCGGATTTAGGGTTTTGGGCTTGTGGCCTAGGAGGGTTAAGGTTTTGGGTTTGTGGCTTAGGAGGGTTTCGGATTTAGGGTTTTGGGCTTGTGGCCTGGGTTTTGGGCTTGTGGCCTAGGAGGGTTTAGGGTTGTGGGTTTGGTTTGTGGGAAGGAACCACAAGAAGAGCTTCTCTACGGTCCAGGTATGGCCTTGGATTAGGATTGGGGAGAAGAGGTTTGGGGGTTTGGGTTTAGGGTAAGGTTTGGGCTTGCGGCTGAGGGAGGGTTCAGGGTTTCGGATCAGGTAGGAGGTTGAGAGTCCAGCTGTTCAGAGCTTCGAGTTTAGGGTCTAGGGTGAGGGGTTGAGGGTGACATGTGACAGGGGGTCACACTTTGGACTTGTGGAGGACAGGTATTCGGAGTCATGAGGGTTCTTTGGCTCAGCTTGAAATCCCGAGCCAGAACGAGTTCTGTGCCACAGTCCAGCCTCCAGACCTGCCAACGCTATCGCAAGCCAGAAGAAAGCGCTCAACACCTGAAGCACTCTGCATATAGTGGTCGGAATACTTAGCAGACTTAGCGATTGTTTCTCCTGATCATCTTTATAATCAGCATACGCAACCACACCCCCAAATAATCAGTAAAGCTATTCTTAAGTTAAGGCCCCTACATGAAGAACTCTGAGCTTCGAGGTGCTCACTTTCGCGCCAAACCTATGGAAACTGGATGCCAGCTACTGCAGCTGGAAACCAAGTTGCAGGCCTTCTTCGGGTTGAGTAATTCATAGCCGTGAGCAAAGTTACCGTCTGCTCTCTTCACCTTGATGAGAAAGTTAAGGGTGCAGGCGTTTCCAGTTCAGCAGGTTTACGGAGCCTTAGCCTGAGTCTACCTGAAACTTAAACCCTGAACCCTAAGCCGCAGCTTTGAACAGCAACAGGCTATCCTTAGATTATCTGTGTTTTGAACATTCGGTCGTCGGCCCAAACCTTAATCCAAGTTATCCGCATTTTTGGGTCACGATAATGCTTTAATTCATGTTTAGGTTCTAGGGTGCAAGGGCTTCAGCATCGCATGCTTTGCAACTGATCATTGTACTGAACTGTGCTCGTCGACAAGAAAAAGGAGGCCACCTCCATGCACCCTCCTCAGTCGCAACATCCATGAGCCTGATCTTTTAACGTCTGCGCCCTGAACTCCACACTTTCAAACTACACCCTAAACTGTATCGCCAAAGCCTTAACTACAAATTCCTGAATTCCATGTCCCTTAAGCCCTACACCCCGGATTCGAAGGCCTGCACTTTCAACCCTAACCCTCCCCCCCCCCCCCCCCGTCCCCCACCCCAGCAGTAAAACCTCCAAAAACTTCAAGCGGCATCGTGGCGCTGAACCCCGGCTTCTGAGGTTTGTCAGCTCTTCCGCCCCCGGATCTTTGGAGCAGGCTCGTTCTTTTCAAGGGCTTTTGGGGCTTAGAATTCGGCCGTTTTCAGAGTTCGGGTGTTGGGGTCGCCGAAGCCAAGACACAGACCCAACTTTAGTTTAGAATTTAGGGTTTGGGGCCTCGCCCCCGAAACCCTAGGCACTAAACCCCGAACCCGGCAGTCGAGAGTGCGGGGTTGAAGCTTTCGGGTGGAAGGTGTGCAGGCTTGGGGGTAGACCGGTTTATAGTTCGAGCCTTGCATCTGCCTTTTGCATCCGGTAGTTAGAACAATTCACCGCTCAACATACAGCTTCTATTCATCCGTTTAGGCTTCCCTGAACCCGAGACGCGAGATTGGGGCTTAGCGTCTGGAGCATTCTGAACTTCGGGCTTTGGCTTTGTAAGCGGTAAACAGCGAGAGCTGCGCATCCCGGATCCTTTAAGGGAACTCCCAAGTTCCTTTGGGCATGCAATCCCAGCCAAACTTCCCAGAACCTGAAAGATGCCTGATCTCAGAATAGTCATCCCAATCCCAAGACTCTTAACCCCATCCAGGATGACTCACTTGAAAAGCTTGCTGCTCCACAAGACCCTTGGCATGGAATGGGGTTTAGGGTTTAAGGAGGCATTGAGCGCCCATGGAGGGGGGTTTAGGGTATAGGGTTTAGATGCTTCGAGCTGGAGGCCATCTCTGTGAGTATGGAGTTAGAATTCTGAGCACCTCCATGGATGACACTCTTCTCGCTTCGGACGGGAGTGAATGCTATCCCAGAAAGTATTCACAGACTCTCAACCTTAGAGCCCTGAGCCCTAAGACCTCAACCCTGAATTCGCAACACCCCAAGTCCAAACCCTAAGCCCCGAAGCCATAAACCGATAAACCTCTAATGTAGGGGCCTTAATAATTACAATAGGGTTTCGGGGCCCATTGTACTATATTTGCAATAGGGAAGCCTCAAAATAATATAGGTAAGTATTCAGGCCCCTATATTAACTGAATGTGCTTGAGATGTTCGACTTCCCCAACCCAAACGCCAAGGCGCCACCTGGCTTACTAATCCGCAGAATCGACTTTTTGTTGGGTTGTTAGGGTTCAGTTGGGTTCGGTTTAGGGTTTAGGGTTTAGGGTTTAGGGTTTAGGGTTTAGGGTTTAGGGTTTAGGGGTTTAGGGCTCAGGGTTTGAGGTGGGTTTTTTTGGGGCTTTGGGGCCGAGGACCTGGGGCCCTTAAGGACAGAGCGAAGCCCGAAGGATATACTCTTGGGTTTAGGGTTTAAGGTTTAGGGTTTAGGGTTTAGGGTTTAGGGTTTTGCAGCCTCACTTCGTTTTCCGTCTCCTGCATGTTTTGCCGCGGTGCAGTACCCTCATGAAAAGTTCCAAGCCTACGCCAATCCTCCGAAACTCCTAAACCCCCAAACCCCAAATTCGAAGCCCCCCCAAAGCCCAGTCCCTAAACCCGAAACCCTTCCAGGAACCTCTTGGCCAAGTGGAGGGACGTGGAAGGGGCATCCTGTCCACCAGCGCTCGAATGGATATCACTCTATGGGCCGCTTGGATCGATCTTTCTTTGCGGGTTTTAGCGCCTACAGGGTTTTGTAGGTTCAGGCTTGGAGTTTAGAGGGTTTAGGGCTTATAAGGTTTAGGGCGCAGGATTTATGGCTGATTGGGCTTGGGGTTTACAAGTTTTGGTTTCGGGTTCCTGCAAGGGTTCCTTGAGGGCTGCCCTCGCGTTCCAGGAGGGTATAGGGTTTACGGGCTTTGGGTTTAGGGGTCCAGGGTGTAAGGTTGCTGAATGTCTGGGTGCAGGGTAGGGTTCAGGGTGTCGGGGTTGAGGCATTTGTTTCGCGATTAGTTCCTAAGCATGTGATGATGGTGTCGATGTCGATGGCAATGCAAGGATGTCGACTTCAGGAAAACGGTTTGCCGAACCGGAGTGCGGCAAAAGATACGAGAATGAATGATCACGCAATCTTCACGCACGGGTCGGAATACTTAGTACCATCATTCCTCAGGGTTCCAGGAAAACCATCCTTTCATGTACGCCCAAACCCTGTTCTGATTATTAAGGCCTTTGTGTTAACTGAAATTTAGAGCCGTGGGTTGGAAAGCCCTTTAGGGTTCAAACCTTCCATCGGCAGAAAGCCGGTGGCAGCGCCTTAATGTGGAACGGCTTTGATAGCTGAGGCCCTTATAGGAACCCGCAAACCTTGAGCTTCGCATCTCTGCCGGTTGACGCTTCCCCTTTCCTGAGTCGCCCAAGCGCAAAATCTCAACATCATGTCCCGGAAGCTTTGTGACCTAGACCGCAAAACTCAAAGCTTTGAGCCTTCAGCATGTGTTGTTTACGGGAATATAAGCCCGAGGCTCTCAACCCTGTTGATCTCAAGGCTTTAACATCTGCCCAGGAACCCGATCACAAGCCAACCTGAGTACCAGGCACTGGTTTCGGACCACTGGTTTGCGTTGAGCTGTAGCGGTTTGGCTTGAAGTCGTGTGCTGGGTGACATTTAAGACTACGCATAGGCAGCCTACATGTGTTAGCGCAGTGCCTTGGGATGAGCATCAAATTACGGTTGTTGATTGTCGAGTATGCATCTTTCTGTTACCCCTTCGTTGCTGCAGAACCAGAGCTGTGCTTCCTGCTTCCACTACTGAGTCACTACTGGGTGATCTTGTGTTTCTTCCAGGTGCAAGATGCCTGATGCATGGTGATTCTGTTAGATAAGTAGTTTGCGGAAGTGGGTATTCTACTCAATTATCAAGCCTTGTACCTTGTTGCCCATGACAGTCCCTTCTGCTACCTTATGTAGTGTTATTGCCATGGTAGGGGGCAAGCCATCATTCTGTTGATGGATGATTGTATATAGCCCTGTTGCACCCAAGCCCTCGATCAAAAAACCCTCATCTCCGAAATCCAGCTCGATATCGGAAGTTCTGTCATTTGGGTATAGGACATGTTCAGCGGAGCAACCATCATGGTTGCAAGTTTAGCGGCCGCCTTGACGAGCACGCAAGAAAGGTGTGATGCCAGGTCTCATAGAGTGGTACTGGTATCCCCGGTAAAGCCTTACCCGAAAATTTCTACCCCAAATCATTAAATCCTTGTAGAACTTTCGTAGAACTTATCCTTATAGAACCCTTTAAAGGAATCGCGTCCCCGCCTTGCGAGTCCTACGTGCTGAACATTGCCAAGTCTTTGGTTGCCCTAGACCTGCGAGTTCTGACGGATGAGGAGAACTCTTAAGGAGTTTAGGGGGTTTAATATATATAGGTGCCTAAAAAATTACCTGTACTAAATTTGTGGGGGGCTTCCTTATTATAATTATAGTATAATGGGCCCCAAAACACTATTCTAATTTTTAAGGCCCCTATATTGGGGTTTATGGCTTGGGGGTTTAGGATTCCTTTACAGGTTCCCAGAACGGCTCCATGAGGGGCTTGGCGTTGTGGGGTGTTGGTGCTTTAGGGATTCAGGCTTTTTACAGAGATTCAGTTGTCGGGCTTCGAGGGTCTTGGGGCTTTGAATTCAACAAGGTTCAGGATTGACATAGAGGATTCTATGTATGCTGGATGGCTTCAATCCTACGCAGACCCTAACCTCGTCTGACCCCCTAAGCCCAAAGCCCACAACCCTAAAGGCTTCTACCCTAAATCCTAAAGCCTAGCGGTCTTGGTCCTTACCACTAAGCGTTCAAGGTTCCGGGTTTAGGGTTCGGGGTTTAGGGCTTAGGGAGCTTGAGAGACCGTAAGAGTTTCAACCTCAACTGCTGAACTCTGAGGAGGTTTTCAGTGTTTAGAGCTTGGGGGTTCAGGGTTTAGTGTTTGTGGTTGGGGCTTTAGAGGTTTTAGTTTTTTTTGGGATTTTTGGGTCTAGACCGGTACAGTGTTTCGGTTAAGGGCCGGGTCGATGGGGGTTTGCGTGCTGTGAGCACATGTAAGGATACCGGGGCCTTATCCGTTAGAATTGGGCTTTGGGGCATGTCATGATCCAATATGTATATATATATATATGTATGTATCTATCTATATATATATATATATATACGTGTGTATATACATACATATATGTATATCTTTACATGTGCCGATAGTATCTTGGCATACGATTATTACCAATTGTTAGGACCTCTCTCCGGCAAGTCTTACACCTGAAATCGTAATCCCAAGGTGCTGAGCTCCAGCTCTTCCCGAATCCCTCTGTTCAGCCCTGTGCGCAGAATTTTACAAGGATATTCAGGGTTGCACCACCTATTCTAACTAGACCCCCATTGGCACAAAGGCGATACGGCTTTGCAGTCTGTATTCTCAAGCCTAAACCCCGAGACCTAAATCGTCAACCTTAAACACTACAAACCTTAATTTCAGAGTATTCAACATAACTCTACGAGAATAGACCTCCCCAAACCCTATTGAAACCCTAAACCCTAAACCCTGAAACCAGCTCGCCTTCGGAAAGTACCCACTGCACCCTCAAACATATACCGGAAGCCCTTTACTCAAGAAAGCCATGGATGGCTTGCAGGAGCACTTCGGCTCAAGCGAGTTTGGCTCAGCTGGAGCCGACGGTCACATCAACAAGAAGAAGCCCGGGTTTAGGGTTTGGGGTGGGGAGGTTGGTGGGTTGTTGTTGTTTCGGTTTGCTTGGCAGTTTTACTCCGGGCTTAGGGCTTCAGGAGGTTTGGGCTTAGGGTCTAAGTCTTGGGGCAGGTATTGCTCCGGCACGGAGCCTTTTGGAATCAGCTTGCCAGTTGTCAATCAGCTCTCTGCCCTAAAGCCTCAGCCCCAGACCCTAAGCCCTAGGCTCTAAAACCCCAAAGCTGCACAACCAGACCTACCAAACACAGCCCCGACCTACAAGTAAGGCTCTCCAAGATCCCCCCCCCCACGGGCCTCCATGATCCTTAGAGTTGTATTATGCCTTTGGGGTATCAGGATTCGGGCTTTTCGGGTTCAGACTCTGGGAATGTACGGTAGTTAGTGGGACTTGCGATGTTGACGTTTCCAGGTTCCTGATGCTACGAGATTGAGCCCTTATGCCTCTTTTGGGTTTTGGGTTTTGGGGCAGAGGGTTTCCGGCTTTAGGGATATGGCGTTTGGCGGTTTTAAGGTATAAGGGTTTTCCCTGAGCCTCAGCTGCAAGTACCGGACCGCGCCAGGCCAGTCTTGCAAATCAAGAAGACTCACTCGAACTTGGGCGGCGCCGACACTCGGTTGAAGATAAGGAATGCTGCTCTTGGCAGGCCGCAGGGACATCTTGTATTTTCATTGATCGCACCTAAGAGGATCTCATTTACGAGTATTTTGCTTCAAAGGCCAACGTAGTTCTTGTACTATAAAACCATAGATCGTAGGCTCCTTTTCCGCGGTAGGTTGTTCTTTTTTTTGGTGGGTTCCCGTTCCTACGGGCAGCCTTGAAGAACTGAGGTTAGTCAGATGGGTTATTGGGGATGTTGTGGGAGTGTATAAGGGGTACTAAGTAAACTTCCCAAGCCAAAGCGGCCCTACCCTAGAACCCTGAGCCCTAAACCCTAAAAGCCCCAAAGGCTAAACTCTGATACTCTAAGAGAGACTCGAACCTGAAACAACCGTCCACGGCTAGAGGCCCAAAAGTTGGAAACCCAATAGCCTCAACCCTCAAGAGTATTGTATAGGGAATCCCAGCACTGTTTGTCCTCAATCCGGTTTCCAACTTTTTGCGGTCCCCCAAACCCTAAACCCTAATATAAACTAAGCAGACTCGCTGAGCCAAAGCGAGGAGAGCTTCAAGCGCTTTGCAGCCAATAGCGAGGCCAGGGGGCCTCTCTCATGGATGGGTTCAGGCTTTAGGTTTCGGGTTTAGGGTCTGGGGCTGAGGAGATTTTTGAGTTGCTGAGTTTAGGGTTCAGGGTTTTGTGCATTTAGGGTGTAGAAGTTTAGGAGTTGAGAGTATGGGGTTGAGGCTCTAGGAGTTTAGGAGTTTAGGGTTGAGGGCCTAGCGCTTACGGTTTGGGGGGTTTTGGGCGAACCTGTCGGCTCTGAGCTTGAACCCCAAATCTTGAACTGAAACCTTCAATTCGACACTGAAGCCCAAAGCCTAAATCTTGAACCCTAACTCCCAAAAGTCTAAACTCGGCACCTTTTTTCCCTTAGCCCTAAACCTAGTTTAGGCATTAAGCTCAAGTTAGGCACGCAGTTCACTTGTTTCGTCCGGTGTGGGGTGAACGACCAGCAAACGTAGAATTCCATGAGGGACCTGTTTCTTAGTGTTGCGGTGCTGAACTTTTATCTTTCGGAAAAAAGCTCGCAAGATTTATGCAGTTTAGGGTTTGAGAGCTTAGTCTTTAGTGCTTACTGAGATTTTCCATTGACCTCCAACATGGGCCTCTGCTGGCGGCCGAGCTCACACCATTCAGATGCCAGCAGCTCATGGCGGGCGCAGGCTTGCAGGCTCCCAGACAGGAAACCCAAAACCCTAAACCCTAAACCGCGGCGGCTTGGACAAGGGCATGGCCGCAGATGATTATAACATTGATATAATCTTACTACAATTTTGCTATAATGTCGTCCGCGCAGCGGCTTGGCTAAAAGCTTGGCCGTGTTTTCGGACGGTGCGGGGTGCTCATGTGCCTGGGCAGGGGAGCAAGACGAAAGGGCAGCCGCTCCTGCGACCGCTGTGGTGGTCGCTATATAATGGGGATTTGGGTCCATTCGGACGCGACCTATCACAAAAGGCCGATTCAGGTATGGAGTACATGCAAAGTTCAACCATTTGGTCTTAGAGCGTGCTTGAACGTGCTTAGAAAGGGGTAGGTTTACCTGCATATGCTATTGGCTGCACCTCATGGACGCGGCCTTCTTTTTTTTGTCGGCAGTCTGCTGACATTCGGGTTGGCTCAGGCATCGTTCTCGATTTCTCTCGTGAGCTCCTCGAGGTACTCGTCTTCCTGGCTCGGGGCGCGAACCAGAAAGGACTACTGAGTAGTGGAACACTGTGCACCTCAGCATGCCGCCGGCACCAGAAGTTTATGGCGAGATCGCAGCTTTGTTGCAAAATCCAAAGGGGTTCCCTCGAGAATCGATGTATCGCGATTGAAGTCGCATCCGAGCAGGAGCGGGTCTACAACCGACAGCTGGTAGATGCTTCCGGTGGATCCCTAGAAACTACGGAGCGCAGGCTGCTCGAGGTGCTGAGCCTACCAGCTTCTCACACGAACTGGGCTTTAAGACTCGTGGCTTGCTCGGCTCGGCGCGAGTCATAACAGCTCTCCGTGAACGGAACCTTGAGTCTTCAGCAAGTGAAAGCTCGGGATCCAATCCTGGCCGAGCATGTCGAGCATGGCTTGTGTTGGAGGGTCATTGCCAAGGAGGTAGTCGATACCTTTCCCGCCATTTTGCAACTCATTCAATCGTCACAGAGTGCAGCTTCGCAGAAATCGGAGAGCGAGCTCCAGCTCCTTCGCCGCATCTTGTTTTCGGCAAGCCGTCAGGAATCGCCGGAATACCGGAGCATCAAACAGGTCGCCCTCAGCCCGAAGCCGCCGGGAAGCGATTGCTTTCCAGCACTGTACAGAACGGTCCGCAGTTTCCTTCGGGACATCGCAATCTTTGTGAAGAAGCTCAGGGGTCAAACTCGTGCTCTCGGACTGGGGTTTTGAGAAGTGGTCTCGCAAGAATTCAAGAGAGGCCAGGAGCAGATTCCACATTTCCGGCATGCACTGTTGAAGCTGGCCTTGCCGGAGGTGCGATCACCCAGACCACAGATCGAAAGATGTTCGCTCGAGAGTGCTCAGAAGGTCCTGGAGGGGCACCAAACGTTGCTCGAGCTTCGGGATCTTGTGGTGAAGGCCGGTGTGAACCTCACGCAGGGCGGGAGGTTTGTCAACATCCTCGGTGCAGTCGACATAAATGTGGTCAGACTGTGTCCTGGCCTCCCTTGTCCTGACCAACAGAGAAGCTACAAGATCGTGCAGGGCATCGCCCATGATGCCTGCCTCCTTCTGGGGTTGGACAGTCCACGGGCAACAGGGAAGTGCTGATGGGAAGTCATCGGGCCAGGGGACCGTTCATCGAATGCGAAGCTGAGCCCGGACGGGTCATTTCGCAACGCACAGGAAGTTCGAATTGTGAGTGTGAACAAATGGAATTTAGTGAACTTACTCTTCCGTGGTGTCTGGCGCGTGGGATTTCCTGATCCTCTCTACACCCTACATCTTGCACGACAGCCGTCTCCCCAGCTACCCTGCGCCATGCAACTTGTTTTCGGTGGTTCCTTCCCTGTCTGACACATTTACACAAACTCTCGCGGTCTGCTTGCCTCTGTCTCGCTGATCGATCAGTTTATTTTCCGTGAGCGTGCGTGTGTGTGTGTGTGTATGTGTGTATGTATGTGTGTATGTATGTATGTATGTATGTATGTATGTATGTATGTATGTATAATATGTGTATATATATATATATATATATGAATGAGGGTGCGTGCGTACGTACGTATGTACGTAGGTAGGTAGGTAGGTAGGTAGGGAGGGAGGGAGGGAGGGAGGGAGGGAGGGAGGCAGGCAGGCAGGCAGGCAGGCAGGTAGGTAGGTAGGTAGGTAGGTTTTGTTTTTGTAGTGGGAAGAAGATGCAATTCGGCTGTAGATTGTTACCTTTTCTGTTCTGGGTCTCCTTTTAAACCCCAAACCCCTATGCCCTAAGCCTTAAACTCTTCCCCCAAACCCGAAAGGCCAGCGCGATCCTCTTCCGCGAGAAGCCTCTGCCTTCTCCACTGTCAGCGTCTTCGTTGCTGAAAGAAGCGACTTGGGCGTCAGCGGGCTAGGGTTTAGGGGTTTAGGGGTTTCGCGGTTTCGGGGTGTAGGGTTTAGGGTGTAGGACCGACGGCTTGGAGTCTAAAGGCTTGTGCTCTGCATTTGGCTTTGGGAAGTCTTCTGTACGGAGGACAGTAGTGCGCCAAGCCGGTTTGTGAACCCAAAACATTGCACCTGAACCCTGAATCCGGGCAGAGTAGCGATCTGACGCTTCCTTGCCTTCTGCAGGCCGCAGACGAGCATGGCCCTCAGTATCTCAGAAGACGATTTGGGGCCAGGGTTTTGGGGGTTCGGATTTAAGGTTTTGCGTTTAGGGTCTAGGATTTGGGGCACAGTATTAATTGCTTGGGGTTTATTTAGTTGGGGTTTAAGGTGGCGTAAACGTCATCATTTCGACGTGACTTTTTCTTTGATTCCTAGACTGCTCCCTTGTAGGTTGAATCAACGGGGACGCACAAGAGGAACCGTGTTCAAGGGTCCTCATAGGGGTCATCTGATCTGAGGAAAACATGTGGGTTTCTTTGGGAAGCTCCTTCTCTAATGTAGTAACTCTACCTAGTACCCTTTTCCATCCTTAAAATGATTTATCCCACCCCTCATCTTACTAAGCCTGCTTCCTCAGTTAAAGAGGCGTCATCTGTTTAAAGGCCTTAAGGGGTTTACGGTTCAGGATGAGAGCCCTTCCGCCTCTAAAGCGATCCCAGCCAGGCTCCGGCAGCTCTATACCAAGTCGGCCTACTGCAGTTCGGGACCTACCTTACTGTTTCGAGACAGTCGGGCCAGGTTTGGGGTGTAGGTGTAGGTTTACAAGCTTTAGGTGTAGGATTTAGTCATGAGGCTTCCTGCCGTTGGGCTTCAGGGTTAGGGTTCAGGCGTTACGGTTGCAGGCTTTCGGGTTTTAGGATTTGGGATTGAGGGTCTGCAGCGGAATGTTGCACTCGACGATCTTGCACCCCGGAGTCCCTGTATAATTGTTGGATCACAAAAGAAAGGGCTTGGAATGAGAAGAAGGGCAGGAAACTGCGGAACCTCAAGAAACGCTCACGGTCTTCCTGTCCGAGACTTCACAAGACTGGGACAGTTTTGGGATTCAGCGATTCACGAGTTTCGGGTTTGGGGTTAGCTTGACCATGACAGTCGTAAGCTTGAGCGGAGTCATAGAAGATTCTCGAATCATGGCACATGATGAGACAGGTGCCGCGTTCGCCATACAAGGGGGCTGGAGGGTGCGGGCCTGAGATGCGACGGGAAGTCCTGTTCGAAGTGCATGAGGCCCTTGCAAAAAGCAATCTATCAGGAATTTAGTTCGACTACGCCGACGATTATGACTCCAGCAGATACCAAAAGTTCCCCTGCCAAGTCAGACCCGAAACTGGGATTTACAAAGGAAGCATCCTGGGTTCTATCATGTAAATCGCCAGACCCTTGTAACCTATAGTATATAAGGGCCGTATATACAAAGAAGATCTGGCTACTTGATTTATCGCAAGCCATGAGCCAACCAAGAACCTAGAGCCTCAAAGACTCAACCAACCCGACAAATTGAGCCTGAAGCCTTAAGCCTCCAAAGTCCAGACCAATTCCAGAAGCCTTCCCACACCACCATCTGTGACACGGCAGGTCTATAAGGCTCGATCCTTGAAGGAGTGGTGCGAGCGTTTGAGATCAGGCTTTAGTTCTTTCAGGGTTCAGGCTTTTCAGGGTTCAGGGTTTAGTGCTTTCAGTGCCTTTACGGTAGCCCAAACCAGGGTCGGCGAGTTCAGGGCGTTGACGGGTTTTCAGACTTTTGTAGCGGTTTCATGGGGCTTGGGGTTTAGGGCTGAAGTCGTGAAGTTTGAGGGTTTTCAGTCTTGGTGTGAAGGGCTTTGAGGGGCATAAGGGCTGAAGGGCAGGTTGTAGTTAAGGCTTTTGGGTGTGTTTTCTCGGGGCTTTCAGTGTTTTCGCGATAGGTAGTTCTCTGGGTCGTAGGCGGCATCCTCACTTAGAAAGCATCCCTGCGAAGGTGCTTTTCTTGGGATTGTAAGGGTTTTTATTGTAGATCGGTACAGGGTTTCTGTCAGATGGAATTGAGTTGAGGGGTCCGAAGTTTCGGATTAGAGGTTCAGGCTTCAGGAAACCACTCTGCTTAAGGACACCTTCAACACTGAACCCGCAACCCTAAGCCCTAAACCCTAAACTTCTAAACCAAACCTCTTCTTGCCTCAGTTGCTAGCTTTCGGCCCTGGATCGCTTGCAGGCGAATTCCCAAAGCCCTAAATCCTGGGCCCGTGACGTTGCAGCCTACTTAAACAGCCTGAGATCCGCAGCCCAGCAATGTTAAGGCTAAGAGCATACACAGTACGAGCAATAACAACATAGCAATAGCAATATTGACTGTTATTATGCGAATTAATGATAGGAAGAATAAACGCCATAAAGATAGCAATTCAGAATAAGAAGAAGCCGACACCCTTCCGACTCATCCCAAGTCCTCCTGCTCACGATCCCCGATCCTCGGGTTTGGGAGGCTTTTGGGCCCTGAGACCTTACCGTAACGCCTTGGTTGGAGGACCAGCTTCAGGCAAGGAAGGAGAACAGCGCCATTATGCCAGCTCCTGAAGTATTCGGTTTGGGGGGCTCTTCGACTTGAGGGTATGCGAGTGGCTGTCGGGCCACTCTACCAAGCTCCACTGAGACATAGGGTTCGACCCTTTGCGTTGATGTCTCCGCGTTCCGTTACCTTTAACCCCGTTTGCCTAAACTGGTACTGTATATCATCAGCAATCTTAACAAACACCACGTCTAATCGTGCTGAAACAAGGGTCATGATGCTTAAGGCATGATGCTTATAATTGGAAACAAAAATGCGCATCAATACCTGAATTCACTTGCGCCAAAGTCCAAGCGTGCCTGGAGATGCGGGCGTCGCAAAGTACCAAGCAATCGTGCTCGTTTGCCTTCGAACATGACATCGCTGACATGGCGGGCCGGTGTGATCGGATGTTATTTTCTTCCATGGGTCATGCGTCCACAGGCGGCGAGCCGGCCTGTGCCGGTCAAATCACGGCGATGCGCTGGGAGGCGAAGCCAAGCCGGCCAGAAGCCCGAGCAGCTGTACAATGCTCTTGCAAACGTGAAGCGGAGGAGGCAGCAAGGCGAATCACCGCACTCTCACCGTTTCGGGCAGCCTCAAGTTCCCCCATTGAGCTCTTGCCGAGTCTGTGTCGTGTCTTTGTCGGGCAGTATTGGCCTCGTCGTCAGCAGCTTGATTGAGAGCACGGCAATCGGCTGCAATTAGCGGCATCGGAGGTCGCCAACCGGGCTGTTTCCCGTGCGATGGGACCCACACCAATTGCCAGGACGTGCCCAGAGCACTCGCAGCTCGGCCTGCATCACAGGCCCTCTGAGAATCCGGAGCCCGCAGTTCGCAGGACACAGGACTCATGGTGTTCATGGCGACTCGCAATCGACCAGGGTCCGTATACTTTCGAGGACTTGGGCACCAACGCCATGGCCTCAAAGAGGTGCACGTGACTCCACCAGCTCCGAAAAGGCGACTGGTCACCTGACGAGCCCCTGCAAGGCGCAAGCTCGTCGCATGTGATGGCGTCGATGGCATGAGGCCCCACATCATTTCTCGGCCATAGCGCGGTCCGTCGCCAAGACGTTGGGCCGACGGCGGGGCGTCCCAAAACCGCACGAAAAAGGTAACAAGGTCAGCTTGCACTGGCTCGGTGCCAGCGGCAGGAGCCGGCCGGCAAAGAGCCTTTCCTGGGCCAGGTTCGGGAGCCGCCAGAGGGCGTGGCTCGGTCGTGCACGTGTTGGTGGCCTACAAGAGCCCATGACTAGTAGGCGGGGTGCAGTGACTTGTGGACCCGCCCGCAAGCAGCAATTGTCCTAGCCTTGTACGCCTCGGTCAGCCACGTGCTCAGGACCTTCGAGTCGTTGCACAACCGGTGCCGGCGAGTCTGGCCTGAGTCATCGACTCGTCCATAGCACATCGAGCTGACATCAAGCCGCCGTCCTAAGTTACTCAACGTTTGGTTGGCCGCAGGCAGGCCGATCACCCGCATGGCCGCATTGTCTGCGATGGACATCCTGCCGCGATGCCTGCCGAACCAGGGCCCTCCCTTTCCGTCAAGCCGCTAGCCGAACACCTGGCCGATAAGCGCTCGGGGTGTCTCGAAAGGGAGGTTGTGTCTCAACGTGAAGGCAACCTCAGCAGGCACCTGCTGCAAGGCGTCCGGAGACGGCAATGCAATTCAGAGGCCCAAAACGGGGAACATCAAAGTGCGCACGTGGTACTGGCCATTGCCACACCGGTTTGCCCGCAAACCTGAGCCCGAGCCGTAGTCGATCCAACCGGCGCTTAAGGGGGACAGCTTGACCGTCAGCCAGATGCAGCTGGTCCAAGGAAGTCAAGCGTGTCGACCACTTGATACTGCTTTTGCTGGGCCACCTCTTGCCAAGGGCCGTGGAGGTCGGTGGTGACACGGTGGCACTTCCGGGCCTTACAAGCCCATCCAGCTGCGCTTTGTCAGCCAAAGCGCGCGGTCATCGACGTAGATGCCCGCCTCCACCGAGTCCGTGGCCACGTGTTGAGTCCACAAGAAGCCAATGCGTAGGCTCAACTGAAAACAACCTTACCTGGCTCTGGGTGGTGGCCAGGGCTGGGGGAGCACCCAGATGAGCAAGGGCCTCACCCACAACTGTCATCGACAACGAGTCGAAAAACGAGGAGAGATCTTGATGAAGAAAGCCACAGATCTGTCCGGGGCCGAGCCACAAGCTCTATGGTCACACCACATGGCGCAATTGCACAATGGCAATATGTATCTTTCCGGCAACCTAGGCTAAGCGCCTAAAATGTGGTGAAACTCTGCGAGAGAGCTCGTGTTCCGGAATTTGCACTTACTTTGTGAGCCAGGTGAGTGGAATACTGGGCATCATCCTGCCGAGGGTCGGTTTGCTGCAGGTCGGCTCGGTGTTTGAACCCACCTCGCGGCATCGGCCGGTGAGTCATGAATTTTGGCATGCTAGCGCGAAATTCGGGCATCCTTGACAGCTCAGGTGCTGCTCGAGCAGGAGTTGAACCTGTGGAAGGGCCACCTCAGGCTGAGTAACATTAGCATGCGGCAGCTCGGGGATCAACGACCTGGTGCGACAAAGCGACCGGACAGTGCTGGCAGCTCAAGCGTTGTTCCACGGCTGCTGTTGGAGCTGCATAAGGCGGTTTGTCAAACGACACAGGGCCGCACCCACAGGTGATGCTTGGCCGCAAGGGGTCACCACCTGGGTCACGGGGGAGCGGCGAACAGGCTGCCACAGCACACTGCAAGGGCGAAGGAGATTGCAAGACGCGATCAGATATTCATGGTAGGATACTAAGCTGCTGCAAGATACTGTAAGGTATCGCACGATTCTCCTAGAAGATACTATACGATACTGCAGCATGCCAAAAAGTGTCGATGTACACGAACATGTGCTACTACGTAGCTTAAGCCTTCAGCCCTGAGCCCTTAACCCCCATTTTCCTGTGAGAGTTGTGCTCCCGACCGAGGCTTCAGAAGTGTGCCCGGAAATTCCTCTGGAAGAGGCAAATGCAAACGTCCAACGCTCAGAGAGATTGGTCTGGGGCCGTAGTGGTACTTGTAAGGGGATCCGGTTTGATATGCTGCCTGCAACACGAGTTTGTCAGATACATCCTTGCTTGGGGCCGCCGACAAGCTTTGCGCGGCCTGGTCGTCGGGAAAACAGTGTGTTTACCCCCATTCACGAGCGATGGCATTGACACTGGTCCGTCTATGTTGTATGGCTGCATTCATCGTGGCCGCACCTGTGGAATTCTGGCCTCAACCGTAAAGCTCCAAACCCCTTCCGAGAACACTCAGACGAGAAACCCGTTATCCTTGAGCCTTTTGTAACTTAACCCCAAACCCTAACCTCTAACGAGTGCACGTTGGACTGTCTGAGCAGCTTTGACAACAACTCTGGGACACAGCCCAACGGGTCCCGGTGTTGAGCCCGGTCGCAGTTTAGAGGTACCTGATCGGATGAATTCAAGAGGCCAGTTTCCAAACCTTAAGTAAACCTAAGCGCTAGACTCTTAAGCCTGTAAACCCTATACCCCTACAGTAAATCCACAAATCCCAAGTCCTAAACCCTGAACCCCAAAGCGACCGCGCAGGTATGTGCAGAATTTCCTGGCGGAGGAAGAAGGTCTGGATCTCCTTCTCAACGCCAAGGAGTCTTTGTTTCGGGCTTTAGGCCTTAGGGTTTAGGGCTTAAGAGTTTAGGGTTTCAGGGCTTCGGCTTTCAGAGATTAGGGTTTCAGAGTTCAGTGTTTCAGGGTTTAGGGTTTCGGGTTTAGGGTTCCAGGGTTTCGGCGTTTACGGTTTAGGGTTTGTGTTCAGGGGAGGAGCGAAGAGAGGGGGTGGAGTTTGGTCTTCGAGAGGCTCAGTTGAGGGTGTCCTTCCGAGTGTAGGTGTTGCCTGTACAGGTCTGGTACCCGAACCCAGAACTCAAAACCCTAAACCCTAAAACCCAAACCCTAAGCCCTAAGCCTTTAAGCGGGTTCCGGCCTGCACTTCAGGGTTTGGGCTTCGCGGCTTCGCGCTTAGGGACTAGATGCGGGCTATCGCTGGCGTGCTGCGGTGTGGGAGTGGGATGTAGATTTCAGCAACATAGTTGCCTTTTTCTAGTGTAAACATAGTAGGAAGCCTTGGGATTGGGTTCGGGGTTTTGAAAGTATTTCAGATCTTTCAGAGGTGGTGTTTTGCCAAGGGCTTGAATTTGGCTGGGATCCGGGCTTAGCAGCTTCGTACCTGTAAGCATCCATGAAGCTTTAGAGTTGTAGGGGTTGGGGTTCACTATTCTTCATAGTCTGCCATGATCGCTTGCCGTATAAAATGCCCAGGAGGCTTTCGGGCCGGTTCGAGGCGCCATTAAGCACCCCTACAAGATCAAAGAAAGCGTCGCATGTGTGGGTTTCAGAAAACAGGAGACCCTAGTTAAGAACCCTAAGTGCTTGGAAGCTTGCCCGTTCAACCCTGAACTCAAATGCCATGGTACCCAGTTTCTTGACACGTCCATTAGAAACCCTGGTCCTCGTAGGAGATGTTGACTCTCCGTGCTTCCAAGCTGATCGAGCCGGAACCTTACGGTTACGATCGGGGTTTTAATGCTTACAATAGTTCAAGAGGGTTCAGGGGTATTTTGTAGTACGGCCACAGGGAGAATAATTAGTAATTTCAGGTTTGACAGAGCGCCCCAGCGGCAGTCGGCTCTCAGAAATCCTCGCCCGTCATCCCTGCTTGGGACTCCTGGTGTTTTCCAGACCCTATATAGACCAAAACTCCCAACCAGAAGGTCATGTGCCTGGGCTTCCTGGCAGTCAAAAAGCCCAACGTTTTTTTTGCTACGGAGCATGTCCCCAAATTGTACGAAGGATTCTGGAAAGGTTTGATTTAGATTTCTGCCTAACGAGCCCGCCACCCTTGAGAAGTACCATTCGCGACCTAAATAAGGAGGGATCTTCCTTGCACAGCCCTTTGGTACCCGCAACAACGCCCCATCAACCCTGCAGCACTTTTTCAACAACCCATACCATTGCAAACACTTGATACAACCTATAACGTCCCCAAGAAAGCCTGTAAACCCACCATAAACACCCTTGTCACTCCTTTCTGAAGGCTTTGTCCTTCTGAGGTCTTCCGTCAGACGCTGGGTGCGAAGGAGAAAGGAGCGACGTACCGTGCGTCAGGCTGGGGAGGAGAAGAGAAAGCAGATAGAGAGCCAGTTTCAGGTTTTGGTGTTTACAGGGTTCAGCGCTTTAGGGCTTCAAGGAATGCAGCCCAACACAGGTAGGCAAACCCCCTGAAGGCTTCCGCCCTCAACCCGATCACTCAGAAAGCCATGTAGCGGCCGACGCAACTAGTTTTAGTGCTGCTGAGTGCTGCTGTCGTGACTTTGACTGTTGAAAACCATGAGGCTATTGGCAATGATTTTGTTTTGGACTGTCGGAATCAGCTTGTGCCATGAAAGGCTGCCACGATCATCGTGCGCAATGTCAAAGGCTACCTCGCGAGATTCCCGGCAAAGTTCGATTGTAGTAGGCAGTAAGGGTTCTTGGGTGAAGGGTTTAGGGATAGGGTTCAGGGAATCATTTTCAGCATTATTCTGAGCTTGGCAGTTGCAGTTCTTCAGCCATATTCCTCACCGCGGTGCGCTCCTTTTTGGTTCGAACGCCGACCTTACAACAGAAAGTCTACTCAACCCTACAGAAGGCCCCGAAACCCCCAATACCCTAAACTCTTAGTCCCCAAATCCCTTGAAATCCTAACGTCCCTAATCCCTAACGCCAAAGGATCTACAGCCTTCCACTTCAAGGTTCTCCCCTTTCTACGACTATGCATTTCACCGGTGTGTGACATTTGGAGAGCCCCGAGCGGCGTAGCTTCAGAGTGGAACGGGATTTTATAGCGTGTTGCAGGGTTTCAAGAGAGTTTCTGTTGCAGAAGGGTTTCAAAAGGTTTTCAGGTTGTTCTTGCAAGGGTGTTATAGTGTTGACGAGCAAGAAGGATGCCTGTTACAAGGGACCTACACGTCATTCAGTTAGGTGCAGCGTAAATGTTTGTTCCTCTTTCATTAATCCTCTGTCTGTTCTCAGCATTAACATATGATAGTACTTCCAGCTGTCACAGGTTCTTCTGCTGTTTCCTGGAAAGCCTAAACCCTGAACTCTAAAGGTTTGACCCCAGACGACACCGTGGACCCTTCGCAACTGCCTGGAATTTGGCGTGACCCACCGCTTGAAGATCTTTCCAGCGATGTGAGCCGCTTTGGAAGGACGACGTCACCCAGTATGCCGCCCACTGGCACCACATCCACGACGTCGACTACCTCATCGACCTGCACTTCATCGAGGGGAACTTTGACTACGACGCCTACTACCTCTTTGCCCTGCACCACGACCTGGACATCGCCCCCGGCGAGCTCCTGCTCTTCTTGTCACGGCTGCCCTTGGAGAACTTCTACGAGTGGGAGTCACAATCAGACTGCCCCATCTCCCACCCCCACATATCAGGAACAAGCGGTGGACATTGCCCTCACACCTGATCAAGGGGATGAGGTTTCATGGATGCATCGCTTTGCCTGGATAGGGGTGACATCTACTTCGACGACCTCCAGCACGAGCTCCTTGGGTACCCTTTGGCCAGCGGATGTGGTGCGTGACGCAGTGTTAGCCGAAACCTCCGTGGCAGGCCAGGCGGACTTACATGACCTTCTTCGTCGACTACTTGATCGTCAGCGCGCTCTTCGCCACTGCGACAGGCTCCTTGCAGAAGCCATTGAGGAAGTCCTGGGCCACATGCACGTCCCCAGACATGAACTTCCCTTCAATGCGGCTACGATGGATGCTAACCTGTGGAGAGTTATCGGGGCGGAGGTCAACAATGGACATGGGCCATCTATGACAGCAACGGTCATCCCTACTGGGCAACCGGCAGTTCTACTCCAGCCTGGCTTTCCGAGCAGTCTGCAAGCGATCCATGAAGCACTCCCGGGATATGATGAACCAACCCTGGCCAACTTCCGTCGCCGCGCATGGCGTCTGCATGTGGACAGGCTGTTCAGAAGGGCTGGCAGGGAAACACCAGCCGGTAGATGGCCACCGGAAGCAGACCGCGACCTCTACTTGCTTCAAACGGATGGCGAGGTCCCGGTCCCCAACCATCCTTCAGGTTGTCTACCGCCTCCACGTCCTTTCCTCTCCCGTCGCTACAATGGGGTGGGAGAACGTCGTCGAGGACAACGTCATCGAGGTGGCCATGGGATGTACTCGTCGGTGCAATCCACAGAGACGGGAGGAAGTACCGTGTTGCTGGCCACACCGAATGCCTTGTCGAGGACGAGCCCGTCTTCTTTGCCCTCCTCCGTCCCGATGGTTGCTATGGCGGCAGAGACCTGCTCCCCGTCACCACGTGAACGAAGCAGAAGCAGAGACGATGGAGAAGATGCTCCAGCAACCCACGACGCGGCTTTACATGCACACAACGACGCGGCTGAGGGTGAACCAAGTGAGGATGCTGATGCGATGTCTGAGAAAGCTGAGGAGGTTGACTAGTCTCTTGTTTTGCTTGGAACAGTGCACGCTCCTATGAGCGAGCTTTCTGACTTTCATGCGAGAGAAAGGGGGCTACTGCATTTTTTTTTAAAAAAAAGGTTTGATTTTTTGGGGGGTTTCCTGTGAAGTACTTTGTGTTCAGGGTTCAGGATCTCCGAGGTTGGATGTCGGAGCTCAATTTGGACTCGGTGAAGCTGGGAGGGGGGGGGATTCACCCGCCTTACAACCAGAATCCCCACTTTACAACCAGAGTCCCCACTTTACAACCACAGACACTGTTTTCGATGTGAGAATCCCCACTTTACAACTGTGGATCCTGAGAATTCCCACTTTGCAACCAGTCTGCATGGCTGTCTGCATGTCTGCATGTCTGTCTATCTGCATGTCTGCATGTCTGTCTGCATGTCTGCATGTCTGTCTGCATGTTTGTCTGCATGTCTACTACTACCTAGGAACATCAATACCGAACCTTCACGCACAGGCACAGACATATATAGACACACATATATATATATATATATATTGCTTGGATTCGGCAAAACTTTCCAACCTGCATTGTTGCTGTAAAGGATGCTGCTGGAGGTTCCATGCTTTGACGTTCTCAATGAATACGATGGTTAAGAAGCATTCGCAACCGGTTGCAAAGTGGAGATTCTGGAAAGGCTTGTGGGTTGTGAAGCAGGGATTCTGGTTGTAAAGTGGGGATTCTGGTTGTAAAGCGGGGCACACGCGGGGGGGGGGGGGGCTGTTGGAAGATCTGGTGTCAATCGAAAGTCTCGATGGAGCCGCAATAGTATCGCCCAGACACGCTGCAAGCTGCTGCGGAAGTTCCTGAAGCTGGACAAGTGCCCGCACAGAGACGGCTCCAGCAGGATTAACAAATAGGCAAAAGGTTGAGTCATGCTGTGTAGCGTCGATCCATTTGCTTCTTTTGCATCCCGTGGATTTTCGGCAGTGGCTTCTGGATCATAGCGTAGACACATAACCACCTCCAGGCTGTACACCCTAACCATGCCTATAGTCTCCATTGTAGATCCGCTTTTTGGTGAAACCAACTGTATATTAGGATCATTTAGGATCCTAACAGGTATCACCCAAAAATGAACTACAGTGCATACTATAGGTAAGCACAGTTGGCGTTCTGGTGAAAGGCACTGAAAAAGGTTCAGTCTACAATACTCGGGTCCTCACTTCTCCAGGTCCTACACTTTCGAAAACTTCTGTCTTCAAGTCGGAATTGAGGTACCGGCGGATCTTCTTCCCTGCATCCTTCACGTGGGAGGATAGCTGGGCTGCGGGTTTTCAGCTTCAGGTCAGGTTGGGGTTTAGGGTTTAGGGGTCTAGGGTTCTCAGCTTCAGCTAGGAAAGTGTGTAGCTTACGCGGTTTAAGATGCCGAGCACTGACTCGACCGATTGTATCCTAAATTCGGAAGACTTTGCGAGATGTTTTTTCGGAAGGGCGGAGATGTATCGGGTCTGGTGTAGGGTGCACTGTAGAAGCTTCTGGAAGTCGGAGGGGTTTTCGCGAGGTATTGAACGGCCAGCATGTTTTTGGAGAACAGCAGGGACTGTGCTTTGGTCCAATCCCACTTGTAGAAGCCATCATAGAGGTCTTGAATACTTTGTCTTCTGATTTGCAGAACCATTATACAAACATATTATACATTCCAAAGCTCTGCATTTTCTACTTTGAGGCACCTTCCTCAATCGGCGGCAAGACTGCTGAATTGATTCTAGTATGGACATTCCTGTCGACAAGTTCGTGCATGGGTCGGCAGAGGGTGCGTGCAGCGACGGTGATGTGGCTAACCGAGGTGCAACCATCTTCATTTGATGGACACCCCTGCTTCGGCAGTTCCTCACCTAAAGGGTACCGCTTCAGTGTTTCGTGCTCCATATACTTGTGGAGTCCGATTGATGCATGCGCGAAGGTGTTGCAACAACTTGCGCGGAAAGCGAAGTATGGCCTGCAACTGTACTGTGAAGTTGATTGTAGTGCGATGTGCTAGCACGGTTGGCAAACTCGGGAGTGGGGATGTATTCGAATAGCGGGATACGGTGCTGGAGGCTAGATGCAGTAAATCAACCTTGAATCCGACGGGCACAGAATCGCCAGAAGCTTGGAGATCGTAAGGGCTGCATGCTTCAATCATAAAGCCTCTCTTAGGCTTCGAGCCTTCGAGCTTCTTCCTCTTGCATGTTTGGCTTTCAGTCAGTATCTCACACCAAACCCTAAGCCCAAAAACGTATTGAAGCCCTTGTGCCGTTTCGTCTTCGCGGCTAGGCGATCGTCTTGCTCAACGTGGCCAGGGCTGCGCACCTTGGCCCAAACAAGAAACTTCGATTAGTAGCTGATGCTTAGCGCACCAGATCTGTGACCTTATGCTTAGGCTTCGGCTTGGGCTTAGGTTTTGACAAGTTGAGCTACGGGTCTATACAGCTTAGCTCTCGATCATCTACAGCCGGTTCCCTATCTTTGGAGTCGTGTTCAAGACTGTTGGATTCTTGCTTCAGGGTCAGTAAGAAATCTCGAATCCACTTCTACAGCTCTACAATGCAGAGCCACGAAGTGACCTCAGGGGCGGCCCCCGCCTTTCTCTCTTAATTTACCACTCCCACCGAGCTATGTGCTGCATCCAAGCCTAGAGTGTCGCATGACTTCCCTTCCTGCATAGACCCTGAAACCCCAAAGCGACGTTTGTCTTGCTTTCCGCCCAGGTGCGACATGCCTCCACTACCCCGTGAGCATCAGTTCGAGGCTAGTTCCCGATAGGGCGATTGGGACCAGTATATTCTGGGCTTTATTTAGGGTTGAGGGTTTACAGGGGCTTCGGTTCTTTAGGTCGCAGCTTCACGGCTTTAGGCTTGGGGGGTTCCGGGCCGTAGGGTTAAGGGTTGGGGATTCTTTTTGGGTATTTTGTTTTTGTGTTTTTTGGGTTTTCTCCCAGTCCAGTCAGTCAGTCAGTCAGCCAGTCAGTCGGTCAGTCGGTCCGCGAGCCCGCCGGGCAGTCCGTACGCGAGCTCCGGTCAGTCAGTCAGTCAGTCGAGCGGTCGGTCGGTTGGGCCAAGCGCCCCAGTTGGTCAGTCGGGGAGCCCGCGGTCAGTCAGTCAGTCGGCGACAACAACGAAAACGCTACTGCTCCGGCTGCTACTAGTACTAGTACTAGTACTAGTACTAGTAGTAGTAGTAGTAGTAGTAGTAGTAGTAGTAGTAGTAGTACTAGTACTAGTACTAGTACTACTACGACTACGACTACGACTACGA